GGCTAAAGCTGCCCCATCCATAGTATGTAGTTCTAGCATGATACTCCTCCGACTTTCTTCTGCTTGGATTAATGAGATTGTCTCTTCTAGAGACGATGTATTCTCTAACATGAGGATTTGGATTCTAACATGATTAAATTCAGGATTCAATCCTGCCAAAAAATCATATATTCAATTCTTCTCAATGAACTTCTTCAAGGTGGCAACATCATCATGACATTTCATCTCAATTACACGATAGTGATCCAGTTTCTGCCACAGATTCTACAATAGAGTTGCATACTCTATGACAGATTTGTCTCCTTGTTTGGTTGCTCTGATTTTTTCCTTGATTTCATACACTTGATTTCATTCCGGTTTTTTCCTTGATTTCATACACAAGGGCAGCATCACGAGCTTTCGAGTATGTGCGATTGATATAGTCCCAGATTTCCTTTGCGGTATTCAAGAACATGCAAGTGTCACTGATTGTTGGGTCCATAGAATCCCATAGCAAGGACATAATCAACATAATCATGGAATCCTCCTCTTCCCATGCTGTAGAGGCTGGATCCCTTTGTTCTGGTCCGATTCCAAGTAGATGTTTAATCCTCCCTTTGCCTTTTAGGTATGTGCGAACAATTTGGGACCATTTGAGATAGTTCTTCCCATTGAACCTGTTGGATGCCCGAAGCAACTCTCAAATTTTCTGAACAACATTGTATTCTTCAGAATGGTTGGAGTAGTTGGAGATAGTGGTTTCAGACATTAACATGGTGGAGAAGAAAAATTTGCAGCAATTAAGGCTAGAATCAACCTGCACTAGTAAAAGAATCGCAGCAATTAAGACAGCCAATAAAAAAAAAATCCAAACAGCGGCGGCAAAGAAGCGGACAAAGAGAGATCTGCGGCACAGGCACAGGATTGCAGCGGCAAACAACGGAAAGTACTTCAGCGGCAAAGGATGGAGTGCGAGGCAAATCACATAGAACCAGATGCCGAAGAAGATGGGAACGAACACTAAGGCGGAAGCAGCTCGTGCCGGGGAGGAAGAGTCGCTACTGGAATCCCGTACTCGGGAGGAATCCCGTACTCGCTACTGGAACGAGGCAGAGGGGCCGCGTGCCGCCAAGAAACGCGAGGAGTCGACGCGCTGAGATCGACACGCTGGAGGAGTCGACGCGCTGAGATCGGCATAGGATTGCGCTGAGATCGACGCAAGCTCGAATGACGGCAACAGAGGCAGTCTCGTCTAGGGTTTGAACCTGGTCTCTGATACCATGTGGAAATCAAAGGAATAATTAATATTTTACATCCTTCTTGATCATACAAGGTATTATATAGGAAATAAAAAGGAGAAAAAACTAGGAAAATATTTAACTAATTCCCTTAATTTAAGGGATTACAAATTTATTCTAATTTCCTTAATTTAAGGGATTTACCAATTA